AGATAGGAGCTTCGTGCTCAACTTAGTTATCAACTTAGTTATCAATCTTATCATATTAGTTTGACATCTTTGATACAAGTAACGAGTTCATTTCCAAGTGAACAACCCGATAGTCTTCTTCTTATCATAGCATACCAACCAGCGAACACCCAGCCAAGTTTAGTTAGCCAGTTTGAGTATTCGTTACACCTACCTAAAAGAAGTATATATATACGAATTTTAATTAATATATATACTTTTTGCGTAGTGTAGTGTAAACTAGTAGTTTTGGACCTTAAAACTATACTAACTAGTCAGTTTAGATATCGCTTTTAAAACTGTACAAAATCGCTTGTAGTACACTATATAGTGTATTAGTGCAGTGTACTACGCAACGCACTGATCTTATTCCCCACACTGTTCCCATAGAAACTTCAAAGTCGACGGACTTAGCTCAACAACTATATACATCCATCCGTCTTTATCTATATTAACATCTATCCACCTACTTAACAATCTACATTCATACCACCACATCCTCATTAAGTCAATAAATATCCCCATACTTACATAGATCTATGAACATCCATAATAGATCCTATGTGAAGTTTAGAGATAAACCAACGATGAAGAAAGTAAAGAAAGCGAGGATAATATGGGGTTCGATAGTAAGATATTACGGCAGTCTGATATCCGTTGTTATATAAACGTAATATGGGCGGGTAAAACGGGGAAATTGAAGATTGTTTCAGTGAGTGGGGTAAGGGAGGTAAGGGATTTTCTGATTTAGGGATGATTTGCTGTTGGAAGGAGAAGAAAGGGGTGCGGTTGAATGGAAGTTTGAGTATTGTGAGGTGGTAGATTGGGTGGAGATATAACTAGTTAAATGGTAGATATCTGTGACAGTTTTTGATTTAGTGAATAAGGGTTCGCTTAGCGAAGTTGCGGGTGTACCCTTCCGTAGATAGACAAATACCTAAGGAGTGCGAAGAGCGTCTCTCTTCCCTCCTTGCGAACAATCTATTCCTTGATCCCCACCATAACAATATCCTCGCTGGCTCCTTTCGCCCCTCCCTATTCACCTAAAAACCTCCTACCATTAAATCAATGTCATCCTCCCATCACCCTATCCTCCTAATAACTCAACTCCATCCCTCACACCACACCATACCAACAACCCATCTATTCCACTTCGGCACTCCTACTAACTTTAGCATCTAAAATATCTTCCCACGCCTATTCCTAGAATCCTGGAGATATAAGGTATATAAATACTTTAAGATTTACTACCTACCGTACGACGATTGTAGTAAGGTCACGTTTTTATATTTCTAATTCGGTGATTAAGTAGGTTGATATTAAGATACAGGTGAGGGGTCTGAGAGGTTTGGGTGTTTTTTGTGAAATTATTATATAGGAAGGGGTTTGAAGGGGATAGGATAGGATAGGATAGCTGTGTTATAAGATTTAGTAGAGAGGTTTTGGATTTGTTATCCTAGAATCCTAGGGATGTAAAGGGATTATATACGTACTAACTTACAAAAGGTTATAGTACGTTCTACTTTTTTGTTTCGGTGATGAAGTGGGTTGATATTAAGGTGCAGGTGAGGGGTCTGAGAGGTTTGGGTGTTGTTTGTAGTATTGGAGGGTGTTCTGAAGGGGAGGGATGGGATGGGATAGGATGGGATGGGATGGGGTGGCTGTTGTGATGTTT